ATGATATGTGAAGCAGATGGGTAAAAAGGGTTTTCTCTTTCCAATCTTTTACTCACTGTACACCAGCTATAACATCCACTGATACTAACCCACCTGTATATATTTGTCATCCCCAGTTCCTTCTACAGCAGCAAAAAGCCAAAACGGCTCTTCAGGACCCCTCCATTTGTGATACAGGAAAAGGTGACAAGAAAAATGAGGAGTCCAGAATAGGATCTAGTCTGTTCCTTACAGGCAAGATGAGTGGGTATGAAAACAAAATAAATTCCACATTCTCTCCAGCCCCGGGAATCTGGAATCTGATCAGAAATGGGTAAGTGGGGTACCTCGTCAGAATGCACAGACCCAAACAGTCTTATCTTTGCCTTTTTATCAAGACCTTTGCATGGATGGTGTCTGCAAAACTTTTTCCAGACCGAGTACATGACTTTTTAGTGGGACAAGGCCTCTTCATTAATCTTCCAAATAAAAATATCTTGCAGGTTTTAAGGAAGAATCACGAGTGGAGTATTAAAAAGTTTAACTGCAAGATGTTCTTCTATGGTATCATTCTCTTAAAATAGAACCCTCCTAAAATCTCCTAAAAATAAGTCTGCATAGTTTCATTTCATTTTCTAAGAAGGAGATAAACATATCAAAGCAAACACTTAGCTCCTTTTTTAAAGGGTCTCTCTGCTCCATGGGGCTCACAGACCAAAGTCTAAAAGGGCCAATTTCTTCACTTCATAGGTCGATGACACAGCTTTGAAAAAGAGGAAAAACGGTCCCCCTAGTGTACCGCTGCTGTAGGAAGAGGAAGTATATTAGTTGAGAATCACTGACGAAGACAGCACTGCCAAAGGAAATTACAAAACAGCATTTTGGCAACACGGGCCAAGCAGAAGACAGATTCCTCGCACACGACCAAAGCTGGCCCTTTGGTGAGTTACTCCAAAAGGTGACTGAGGTCAAAATTACGAGCCAATAGGGAATTATTATGACTTGGCCATTTTGAAATTTTTAAAAATGTTTTTAAACGTAGAAGTGGCAGTTAAAATAACATTTTCTTAATACAGGATCTTGAAAAGGAACTGGATGGGTTAATCTAAAGGACCAGAACAGCGAGGACATAAACAAGCATTCTTGGCAGGTCAGCCCTCAGCTTTTTACCTTGGGAAGAAGCTGTACGACTTAGGACACTCTCACATGAAGGAAGACTCGGTCTCTCGAAGAATTATCTGCAGCAGAGTAGAAGCTGTCACACCGCATGCTACATTTGCGAAATTGTGGGAACCACCACAGAAACTCATAGCTGCCTAACGTGATCCTGCCCTGACCATGGGAAATGCAGGTGTATGTAGGAAAGTAAGTGATAAACAGGGCTGCCCAGGTAAACCCTGGGGTCCTAAAGGTCTGCCGGGGACAGGAGGAACCAAGAGAACTCACCAGTTTAATTATGGGTGCAGTGCAAGTAAGCTTAATCTGAATTAAAGGAAATGTAACCTTTTCCCCTCTTAACCACATCAGATTACTCATTTCGACTTTAATGCGTGAGGTAAAGGAACCCGTAAGATAGCCATCACCTTTCTCCTGGCACAGTGTGCATCTGACAAACATAAGTTAACCAAGAGCTTCCTCCTTTTGTTGAAATGCTCTCTTTTTTGCCACCTTTATCACTTCATAAGTACCCATACTGATAGGCACTGGAGAGCTATACAGGGAGGATACACTCCCTCAGCCTCCATCAATATCCTTCTCTTTCCAACGCTAAAATAATAACCAAGACGTTTTTAGATCCAGAGGGAAATATGCTTTTCAGGAAAGCAAGCTTCTACTTATGTAAGACCACTTGTTACCTAGTAAGTAACCTTTCAAAAAAGATCAATTTAAAGAGGAAAACAGTGTGATAAAGAACAAAGATTTCTAGAACTGTGGCTACTAACTACCTCTGTACTAACTAGCTGTGTGATCTTTGAAGTCATTAACTTGAAGAATCAGGTTCTTCACCTATAAAATAAGGGAGATGCACTAGATCAGCAAACCTCACCCTGGCTGTACGTTTGAATCACCTGAGAAACTTAAAAAAAAAAAAAAACAACCAATGCTAAGCCACACACCAGCCCAATTAAATCAGATTTTCTGAGTACTGGTAGATTTTAAAAGCTCCCAGGTGATTCTAATATGCAATCAGGGCTTTGAACCACTGGTCTCAATTCTGATCTCCAAGGTCTCTTTTCTAATTCTTTCATTCTATGATCTTAGTGTGGTAATTCTGGTTACAGGATCTCATAATGCAATGGCCCAAAAAGCCAAAAGAGGAGTAAGGCCTAGACCCTACATACTGTGCCTATGTGCACGTATGACTACAAAAGGTTAACCTGAATTCTAGACATTTTTAGAAGTTAAAACCATAATGCACAACTCAGAATGAAAGTAATGTGGTTTAAATGCACATGCAGGCTTCCAGAATGACTAATCATGATAGGAATCAACTCCTGAAACTCGGGGATGCATGGAAATGGTCACAATTAGCTCCTGACCTCTCTCTTTTTCCTCTTCTTCCACCCCCACTGAACCACAAGCACAAAAAAGGTTGGCTATTAGTCATAATTGAAATATGAAACCAGTCCCAGTTTCAAAGGGCCTTCTCCATCATCAAAGATTTGGAAGTTCTTGCATGGCTACATCTTTTGATGAAGGTCATCTTAGAAAACTCTTTAAATTATACCTCTATAGCCTTTAGGGATTAGCTGCCACGTGATACTCAGAAACAGAATTGGTGTAAAATTTTAAAGTAAAAGTAATCATAAAAGTGCACCCTGTATTAAAAATACTAAGGTTTGAGTTTTAATTTACAATATTTCATACGATTTTAGAGAGATGAGATAGCAGAGAAGAACAAAAGAAACCATGAGACAAAAAAACTGGTTAGGACGTAAAACCACAAAGTCCAAGACTAGGCCCAAAATCTCTATTGCAAGTTCTGCAAGCTACATGAAAATCTAACTAGCCCAGTCTTGATTCATGCTACTTTTGGTAACACTACTTTCTCACATAAATCTCCAAAAAAAATCAAAAGCTATTAAATTACTATCTTTATAAACAAAATAGCAAGAAATATTTGTGGAATTAAATTACTTTTGCAATCTTAAAAATCAGAGGAGAGGTGACAACTCTTCCTACATTAACTTTTTAACTAAGTTAGCTAACTTTTAACAGATTCTCTGCACCAAATTCAAAATATACAGAACTAAATTTCAAGTGTGAAAAACTTGAAAAATATTCCAAACCCCCAAATCCATCTTCTTAGATCCTGTAAAACTCACCCCTTCCTGACACTGTACACTGAAATTAACCATTGCTATCTATTTGCACACTCAAGTTTTAAAAGGTATCACAGTAGCATGGCTTTGAAACGGAACTAACTATCGTCCTCTCTGGAAACAGCCCTCAGATCACACAACTGGCATTCCTTTGCAAAGCAACAAAATTAAATCAAATGTAAGATTCATAATGTCAGAATTTGTTAAAGGAAATGAAACCGATTTGTGGAATAATATCAAAGCACGCTTTGCTTTTAAAGTATCTAAACAAGGCCTCTCCAACTCTAGCCATAAAAAATAAAAAACAGGCACTAGGCTTGCAAGATTTTTTTTAAAAGTAGCCAATTTACTAAATTCTTTAGCTTTTTTGTATAGACTCCTCTCCACTGCTTCAGTTCTCCACTAAGATTAAATGGCTCCTATTTTATACACCTACTGGAACCCAGGAAGATACACGGCTCTCCAAAGACAAGGAAGGGATAGAAAGAAGCAACTACTCCTTTAATTTAAAAAAGAAAGAAAAAAAAAAGCTAACTTGCAAATACAAGCAACTGATAAACCATAGGTATCTCCACCTGCTCAGGACACTTTTGCCTGGTACTGACACATCCATATCTTGGGGAAAGGGGCCAGGAGGATGAGGTGCCAGGAAGAGCAAAACAAGGGCGTATCAGCAGCCCAGCAGAGGCACAGGAGTTAATCTCTTTGGATGCCCAACTGCAGGAAATCATTACATCATAGGCCTTTCCACACCTCTCTCCCTACCATGTGTCCAGTACCCAGAGAAGCTGAAAAGGAGCAGTGGAGAGCCTCTCTTCAGGTTCACTTACAGGTAGAAGCCATTTCGGCCCAGCCCTGCCACCAAACCTCTCTCCCACAGGCCTAGGTGAAGCGGCAGGCCCAGTCCTCCACCCCGCCTCGTGCAGCTCCCGAGTGCAGGCCTCACCGGGAGCAGCAGGTGCGGCCAGTCCGCGTGGAGGTGGCAGGGCTGGCCCGTTCCAGGCCCCAGAACAGCTCAGAGGCTACTCGGGGGCAGGTTTACTAAGGAGACATCTGTGAAAAATAAAAGTGTCAACACGAGCAAGGAAAGACAGCCGGCCAGGAAAAGGTCGGCAACCACTGCTTTCTCAAACGGGATCCATGTGCCTATGGGAGTTAACAACCACAAGCCTGAAACTTAGACCCAAAGGTTCTCATCCAGCTGGTGACAATACACCATGCTTCTGCGACCGACTGGAAACCACAAATCCAACCCCTCCTCCGAGCACCAAGTCCCAAACACTCCCCCACGTCCACTCGCTCCACCCGCAGCGCCCTCGCCGCACCCCACTACGGTGAATTCACCCCCACTACTCCAAAGTTGGTCGCGGACCTACCTTCTCCGTGCTGTCCCGAGAATCCAGCAAACGCACTCCTGTCCGTCTGTCCTTCCCTCGCCGGTGTCCCTTGCCCCCTCTCCTCACCTGGCCATGCCCGAGGCTTCCCCGAGAGCCTCCTTTCCGCCCCACCCCTCCTCGGCCGTCCCCAGGTTCCCCTCCTCCGGGGGTCGCAGAGAACCCCCAAAGCCTCCCCGCCGAGGCTCTCCTTGCCAACCCCTCTCCCCGGCGCCCGCAGGCGCGCTCCGAGGCATCGAAGGCGCGTCTCGAACTGCGCAGGAGGCCCAGCGGGTCCGGCCGCCCGCCCGAGGTGGGTACGCACCTTCCAGCCGGCGGAGCTGTTGCTGTCGCCCTTATCCTTGAAGTAGGGCACGCAACGCACCATCCACTCGTAGATCTGGGACAGAGTGAGCCGTTTGTCCGGGGAGCTCTCGATGGCGCGAGTGATCAGGTCGGCGTAGGAGAGGTTCCCCCAAGCGTTCCGCCGCGACGAGCATTTCCTCGGCTGCCCGGAGCCCCCAGCCGCCCCCGGCTGCGGGGGTGGCAGTGGCTGCTGAGGCTGCAGCGGCGTCTGCGTCCCCCCGCTCAGCGCGCCCGCCGCCGGGGCTGGCCCGGCCCCGAGGTCCTGCCCTCCGGGAGCCAGCAGCCGGGCCGAGTCCTCAAGGAGCAGCCCGGAGCCCAGCGAGCCGCTCCCGCCGCTGCCGATCGCCATGGCCGAGCCGGCCCTCCCGCCGCCGTCCTCGTCGTCTTCATCGTCCTCCTCCTCAGGGATCATGGAGTCGGCGGCCGCCTCCCCCGAGGGCTTGGCCGGGCTCCCCTGGAGCTCCGGCCTCTGCAGGGGCCACGTACAGGAGCGCGGCCGGCTCTGGGGCTCGAACTCCGGATCCAGCTCCACTTCGAGCGGAGAGAGCGGGGCCGGGGAGGCCGGCGCCTCTGCCATCTTCGCCGCCCGCCCGCCGGCGGCTCGGGCTCTCGCGCTCTCCTCTCGCGCCGGGGAGGGGTGCGGCGGGGGAGGGACCGGGGCGCCGCGAAGACTCGGGCTCCTGGGCGCCGCTGCCGCCGCCACCGCTGGGGAAGCACAAGAGAAGAGAGAACGAGAGTTGGTTATCCCGGGCCGGAGCCCAGTCCTCGGCGAGTCCTCGCCCGCCGCTGCCGCTGCCGCCGCCCGAGCGCACCGCGCCCGCCTCCCAGGAGCAGGCAGACCTGGAGACGTGCGTCCCGCGAACCTGGCGCAGCAGACACCGCCCCCTGGCCGGGCCGCGGGGGAGACGGGAGCGAATCGACGGGCTCGCACGGGGCAGCCCCCTCCCCCGGCCGCTGCCAGAGCCGCAGGTCCCTCCTGGGTTAGGTGGCTGGGCGGGGAGGCAGGGGGAGGGGCGGGGAGGGGGAGGGGCGCGGGCCGCGCCTTTAAATCGGGCAGCGGCCGGAGCTGGCGCAGCGGTGCCGCGGTCGGAGTCCGAGCTCGGGCGGGCGTGCGTTTGTTTATGTTTCGCTCGGGGCCGCTCAAGTGCTTCCCGCGGCGCCGCCGCCAAAGTCTGTGGCGTCTTCAGCTCTCCTCCCCGTCCCCAGCCCTGCCGCCTCCGCGCCTCCCCTGCCACCTCCCCTCCCAGTGGAGGGGCCCGAGCGCGGGGACGGCGCGGGCAGCTCCCTTCTCCCCTCTTAGCCCGCGGGCCGGGAGGGCGAACGTGGATCCGCGCGCAAATGGCCCTTATCACTTCCAGAAAAGAGAAAGACGGGAAGGGGGATAGGCAGCTCGGCTGGTGTTCGCAAAGGGTCGAGCCGAGCAGGAACAGCCACTTTGGGGTTTTGTGTGGTTTATTTTCTCGCGCACGTTGTGCCCTCCACCCGCTTCCCTGTAAAGATCGGGGGGAGGGGGCAAGTCAAACATAAATCTTCCAACAGGTCGGGAAGCGCCAAGTCTTCCCGGGCCGCCAGAAAACCCGGACCAGCACGTTCATCACCTCCTTGCTCCCGCTGCTGCCATCTTGACAGTTTTTTCCCCCTTCACTCAAGTCCTTTAAAAACACTAGCGGGGAGAAGGGGGGGCGCGCACACCGAGTCACGGGGAGGGAAAAGGGAAGCGCCTGGCCCAGCTCGAAAGCAGATCCGGAGTCACCGGGAAGGCGGACGCCCCGCTGCACAGCTCCGGCGCCTACCTCGATTCCTTCCCTTCAGGGACGAGGGGGGAGGACGCACAATCCCGCGCGGGCCCGGGGCACGGTGAGGAGGGGGCGCGCAACCTCGGCGAAGGAGAGGTGCTCCGGCCGCCGCTGCAGCCCGCCGGAGGAACCGCCTGTCAGCCTGCGCGCCGCCGCCTTCCACATTCCTCCTCCTTCCTTCCACCAGCAGGGCGGCCGCGGCAGCAGCACAAAGTTATAGACACACGCAGGGTGCCTCAACCTAGGCTGACGGCGGGCGGGTCCCCGCCCAGGGGGAGGGCTGGGCGGCGGGCCCGGGTGTGCTGTGTGTGTGCGTGTGTGAGTGCGCTCGCGCGCGCCTGCGCGACCCGGCTCCGCGGGGCTACGGGCGTGGGTGTCAGGGCGCGCGCCACGGGCCGGGACTCGGCGGGCTCCCGCAGCCGTCCCCGCCGGGCTCCTCCTCTCTCCCCAGAGCCTCAACGACAACAAAGCGCGGCGCTGGCCCAGGAGAAGAGGGAGGGGGAGCGCAGAGCCCCAAACGCTCCACGAGCGCAGTCGTGTGGCTTCTCTGACTCCGGGCAGGGCGCCTGGCACCGGCGGTCCCCTGCACGCGTGTCTGCCCGCCCGGAGCCGCTCTGGTGTCCGGTTCTAATGGGGAACCGGACACCAGGTAACACCCGAGATAAGATGCTGACCGAAGATGGCAAGGGTTACCTCAGCTTGGAAATACTGACAAGCGACGATGTTGGTGGCTACAGGACTTCCATAAACTGATGCGCTTCGATTCGATCAGGCACGAAAAGGTTTGCACTGTCTCTTACCTAAGACGCTCGACCGCAATCGTGTTTCAATTTTCATGAATTTCGTGGCAAACGAGGGGAGAAGTGTAACTCAGGAGGGAAAAGCAAATTATTCCCCATTCCTAAACGCATGAGCAGATTTTGGACAACTGTGAATGGGAAGTAATTTGATTCTAATTTGTAAATGACGGCAAAACGGCTAATTGTGCATTTTTTACTTTAAAAAAGAGATACTCCTTTAGGTTTAGCAAAACATCTTCACAAGTCCTTATCTTACGATCAGTGCCCAAATCGTTCATTTGTACACTAAGAATGCACCACATGCGACACACACACCAAAAGTCTATCCACTTTGATTCATGAATATCTTTTTTTCTCTTAAATCCTTCCAAGTCATTGGAGGTATCTTACAGTCTAGAGCGGCTCCGCAACAACCCGACACACAAAAAGGTCCAACCCAGCGTACGCAGGAGTCCGCCCACCCGGCCTACTCCAGGCTCCGGGCTTTGCGCAGGGCCCGTCACTCAAGTGACGCGCGGCCCCGCCCCTGCACCAAGCTAGTTCGACGCGTACAAATAGATGATGTCATTGTATCCACACGCGCGTGACCCGAGAGCGCTGCGCCGCGTCGCCATTCGCTGCGCCGCTTACTCGTCAAGCCAAGCCGCACGCTGACTGGCCGCAGCCACCAGTCTCCAGGCCGCAGACGCCCCTCTCCGACCCCGCCCCCGCCCGCACAGCAAATAATAAACAATCGAGTAAAATTCTAAGGCAGGAGGGGAGGGAGGAGTGGAGAAAAAGAGAGGGCGAACCAGAAGCCAGTCCTTGGCGCGCTGACGGAGGGAGAGTTAAAAGGAGGCGGACAGGAGAGGACCGGGGAGAGGAGGGAGGGAGCAGACCTGGGGTGACGGGTCCCGCCGCGATGAGGTGGCGTCAGGAGAGGAAAGTTGGAGAGCACTCTGCGGGGCGCGCCTGGCTGTAAGGGGGGGCGTTAGGGCCCGGGAGCCGCCTGGCTCGGGGCTGGGGGGCGGTGCGCGGCCCGCCGCGGGGGAGGAGACTGAGCCTCGCCGGAGCGCCGCGGGTGGAGCCGGCAGACACGTGCGGGAGGAGGGCGGGCGCGCGCCGCACACGCTCGCCCGGGGCGCGCGGCACCGCCAGGCGCGCGCGCTTGTTTACCAGCGCACGTGGGTGTTATTTTTAAATGGAATGTAGTGCTGGCAGCCGAGCTGAGTGGCGGGCGCGTGGGGCCGCCCGCGCCTTCTGGGAGAAGCCGCGGGGCCCGCTCCACGGCCTCTTCTGGCGCTGCTCTCGGGCCAGCGAGGCTGTCCCCGCGGCGGGCTTCCAGCGCAGCCGGCCCCCCGACCCGGGGAGCCTGATGGCGAGTTTCGCGCGCTGCGCAAGCCTCAACGGAAACGACGTGTTCCCGCCTCGGGACGCTGCCTTCTTTAACCCCGGGCTCGGTTCCCTCATTCACATTCCGGGAACAAAGCTACCTGCTTCTCTGGGTCCTGGAGGCCGCGCCAGGCCGGGCCCCGCGGCCACCGGTTCCGGAGCAGATTTCACACGCTCACTGGCACACAACCACCTAGCCGCGAGGGAGACTCGCACCACCTTGCGTGCTTTGTGCCCTCGTTCGCTTGCTCCGAATGTCCTCAGTCCATATGTGGCCATCTCTTGGGCATACAGCTCTGCCCACGTACAAATGCGCTTCTGCTGCTTCGGGGTGTCTTTGGAAGGAGGAGTCTGGGAACAGGGTTCTGGTTGCTTCCTGGGGTTGCTCCTCTGCGTGCGGCTCCTCTCCTCTGGTTGTGGGCCTGCCCCACTGAGAATCCCTGAGTTTGCATTTGGTTTATAGCCTGACAGTGTGGACAGTGCTGTCCGACCAAAACTCAGCTTCGAATGCCCATGGGGAGGCGGGGGAGCTGGAGCATATTACCCGGAGTCTGGTGTTCAGCTTTGCACGCAGAACCCGGAGGCTAGATCACCCAGAGCCTTGCACCATGATACAGCATAAAATCCAAAGAACTTTCAGCAGCTTTTTAAAAATACTTACAACACACTGTAAAAGAAATCTACCCTTTTTCTTCTCTAAATCTAAGCAATCTTTTGTCATTAAAGTGCAGACGGGCAGAAGGAGAAAGAATGTGTTTACACTGGCTGGGCTCTTGGCCATGAGATTTTCACTATAAACATGTGGGATGTCCATTTACAGAATGCATATCCCGAAGGCATACCAAAAAATGTAAAAGTTAAAGATTTAATAGATTAATTGAGCTCATTGAGACCTTCTTGGTGAGGAGTGGGGGGCAGGGACATGATCTAGCCATTTCCCTCAAAGAGCTTAGTCTTAGTTGGGGGTGTAAGACATATTAAAAAGTTCAGTATTTCAAGAGTTTAAAAACATACAAGACAAATACAAGAGGTCATACACATCGCATTGGGTAAGTTTCAAATGAGTTAAGGATCAGAACTTCAAATGGCAGTGACTATAAACATTCAGCTTGGTAAATGTGCGTCTTACCCAAAGAATTTACACTTGTAATTTGTCCCTGTGGGCAGGCCTTTAAAAACTCAGAGATTGGATCTCAGTGATTGTTCTCTTTTAGCCTGAAACTGCTGTGACCTTTGCTTTCCCCTGAAAGCCTCCTTGGTCCTTCTCCATTTTTTCCCCCTACCTTTTTTTTCTAAACTTTTTAGTCTAGGAAAGCTGAGTAAGTTATGGTTGTTGACTGAATAGGAATGCCAGCATAACCTCTGAGGTAGAATTTTTGGTCACAGCTCTCCTCACTTCTTATCATACCCTGATTATTTCTACAAAGGATTTAAGGTGGTGATGTCCACTCCATATTGCAAATTCGGTCACTGGAGGAGCAAAAGTTAAATGTTTTTTTACCTGAATAAACTGAGTAAATTCACCATTTCACACATCTAATTATGAAGGGATTGATGGTAGATGCCAGGGCTCTGGCTCCGAGGAGGCCACCGCTCAGCACTTGTGTCCTTGCCCAATCCTCTTTGAACCTAAGTCAGCTAGGTACGCCCTCTGACCCCAGAGCCCAAATACTAGGGCCTGAGCACGCTGCCTGGCAGCAAAGTGCTCATTTCCCTCTTGGATTGGCTTCTTGGTCCGTCTCAACAATGAAGACAGGAAACACAAATGCAGTATAAGCCCCCCAACAATTGTGTGACCCAGCTAAAAAGATGGATCCCCAATATTCAGATCTATAGCTGCTCCCCGTCTTTTGTCTGACACCCTCATTAGTCCCTTCCTCTGCCTCCCCTCTTCTCAGCAAATTATGCACATGGAAAACATATTGGACACTGTGTACCAAAGAGCTTCAGTGTTGGCTTGTCTCTCGGGGTGTCATTCCAGACAGGTTTCATCACCACTCTCCCCAGGAGTCTCTGGAGCTCCCATCCCCTCTCTTCCTCTTTGCCTCCTCTGAGTGTGACACACCCTGGCAGAGCCGCCTCCAGGTCATTACAGTGACTGTCCTCTGGTTCATTTGGAGGGCAAGTATTTGTATTTTCAGAGGGGAAAATAGTGGGAGATCCAAAAAAGAGTGAAGATTTACCTGAGATGGAATTGCACAGACAAGAGAAAGTGGGAAAGATTCTCTGTTTTGATGTTATAAGGTCATGATGATAGCTAATCTTTATTTGTCAGTTAATATGTTCCAGCCCTGAACTAAGCACTGTATTTGCAGTGTTTAATTTAAGCCTCAGGAAGACCACATGAGGTAGGTACAGTGGTGCTAAATGGTGTGGGGTTTAAGAATTCAGGCTTTGAGGTTGAGCCTGATCCCCTCACTTATCAGCTATGGGACCTTGGGCTGTTATTAAACCATCAAGCCTCAGTTCCTCATTCACAAAATAACGGTAATACCTTCTAGGATTGTTGGAAGAATTGGGTTAAATGAGATTATGAATCTAAAGCATTTAGGATTAGAATACCAGGGGAAGCTTTTTAAAATAGTGATGGCCAGGCTCCGTCTTGGACCAACTGAAATTAGAATCTTTAAGAGTAGGGTCTGGTACTGATATTTTTTTCAGTGTTTGCCAGATGAATCTAAGGCAGCAAAGGTTGAGAACACTGAGCTAGGGGTCTCTCCTGCAGACTCCAGAGTCTGCTCTCAGCTATGACTAATTGGCTTCTGCTTAGGAATGATAACAGAGCCATTAACTACAGTCCCGGGGGCAGGTCCCATGCACATAACATCTTACTTTATCTCTAGAACAACCTCCCCCAGCGGGAACTATCCCTCTGATTTTAAGGGGTTTTTCCCTGGTCACACAGTGAGTAGCAGGCCCAGGATTTGAGCTGAGGTCTGTCTGAATCCGTGGCATGTGCTCCCCCCGAGCCCTGCTCTGCCCCTCCTGTGGTATTTCTTTCTGTAGGCCATTTGGCCTAGAGGAATGGGGCTGGAAACAAGCAAGCAAACAACCCCAAGCACTAACCCAACCAGTCCAAAGC